AAAAAAAAAGTGATTTTTGTCTGAAACAAAACTTTTTTTTTAACAGAATGAAGGTGAAATGAAAAGAGCAAATTTTTTTGATTATAAAATTGGAAAAAATTGTTTTAAGGGTTTACGAGAAACTGTTTTCATTTAGATGATCTATTGATCTGAACGACGACTCTTTTCTTTTTTTAATTTCATTAGTATGAAATACTCGCTGTCAGAACGTATGTACGGCAATCAAATGACAACAGCACTTTTAGATGTTTGGAAAGTTGCAATGATGCTATTTATTGTGGCATCAATTTTCGAGTTAGTAGTGGTTTCCTGTATAGCTAGCATAGGACGATCCAGAAGGCTTGCAAGATGTTTTCGTAGAAGACGTACTAGACGAAGTCATTTTGCTACAGAACCAGTTTATGAAGAGCTTAATGATTTACGCCACAGAACGACTAAGTACGTTTTGAGTAGAACAAAGTTTTTAAAAGTTGAAAAATATGTTTTGAGTAACCTGACGACACCATAAAAGCGGCAATTAGTGCTAAAAACTTGACTAACAAGCGTAAAATTTTTTTTCTTTTTTCAGATCAACCTGTGCATTCTGCAGATATACAGCCTTAACGGTGGACGTGTTAAGTCTGTTCTCTTTTGCATTAATTTTTGTGCTGTTTGTGTTCATTTATTTTGAAGATTATGGAATTTTTGTGAAATTTTTGAACGGAAACAACGTTTTTATTGGTAGCAATTGATTCGGCGGATTACAACGGTAATATGCCTGTCGGATGATAAAACAAGTAAGCTTAGAACAGAGTTGATGAAGCTAATAAATACCATACGATGAACTGGACTGATAGATATTTTCTTTTTGAAGCTGCACACTTTATTCCGAACATTCTGCGAGCTAATTATTGGTTAAAAATTGATACTGGATATCGCCTATGGATGTTACAATTTCCCAAAATGTGGTCTCAAATGAATGGCAACAAGCACTTTTTTTATTACTTTTTTATTAAAAGAAGTAATATTTCAAGCTTTTTTTTAGTCTCTTGTTATACTATTTTTTCTCATAATAATACAGCCGATGCATAAATTTCGTCTATATTAGTTGCTCAGAATTAACGTCTGTTCTGAACAGTTAGTGAGGCTGCTGTCAGTACAGCATTATTGCTATTTTATCTTTAGCATTGTTTCGCTGAAATAACACTGAAATTAGTCGAAAAAAGAAAAGCTTATAGTGAATAAT